TTTAGAGTATAAGGAGTATATTTGTCCTATTTCTTCATAATTGTTAGCCCAATGCTGGCCACAAGTCCACAGCTTATTAAGTATGTGCTGATTAACTGATGCATAAATTCTCCTTTACCCCAACCCAGTAAAGCAATCAGCCTTCCTAGTAATAGCCTTGAAAGATGACTAACAAAAGAGCCCATAGTTTAAACACTTCAATGTGGCTGAACTATGAAATCTCAATTGCTAAGACAAAATTCCTTTATGTAATGATATTACAACCCCAAGCTTTAATTAGTACTTGAAAAATAAAATTATAATAGCAACTATGGCAATCTGGTTGACATGGTAAACAACCTTTCTGCACATAATCAGTTTAGGTTCCTAATAGTACTAAATTCAGACTCATAAATGTTTTTGGCTCTTATCCTATCTTATTTTTATAACAGCTATGGATTCAGAAAGCATGAATTTATAAAAACATCTTGCAGTTATAATTTAGGTTTGCAGATGATACTATATGTGATTTGGCTCTAAAAAGAGATAAATATTCTGGTCTGAAAAGATAATCCACTAAAGCAGAAATCCATTCAAATGCTAAAGTTATTTCATACAAACTTCTTACATTAGCCCATTACCTAGGAAAATTCTATGTCAATATAAAATATCATACATCCATCACTTTAATGCTCTAAAGGTATCAGATAAAATTCTACTGCTATTAAGTAAAGCTTGTATATGTTGGATTTCAAGTAGTATGTGCTGACAGCCATTCTTGTCTTGTGGTTTTTTTCTAATATTTTTCATAATTTCTGATTTCCCCACACAATTTTCTTCTATTTTTATTAATTCAAGTTTTCTTAACATCTTTGTTTCATGTTGTTTGCATGTGGCTGTCTTACTGTATTTTGTTCTACTCTCAGAATCGAATTGCCATCTAAAATAGTTAAGTCTTTATCCTGTGGAACTCTATAGAACAGGAAAAGGACACAGGTCCCATAAACAGCAAAAACAAGATATTTATTTTCCCTGGAATGTAATAATAATATTGTAGAATCAATATAATGCTAAAATTTTCTTTTCTAGACCTATTTCCAAAAAGTGGAAAATGTGATATAAATATTGAGCATCAGACAGCTATAGTTTTTGAGATGTCTTACACATCTTATTTCCTAAAGTTAACAAAGTCACAACTCTACTTAAAAATGTAGCAGTTGTTAAAACAAAATTAACTTTGGGTAGACCCATGGTTTAGTATATTATACTATGACTAAGAACCTCTGGTAAATTGATATGCTAAGGAGTATATCAGGTAAATATTCTAACTTATATACTGTTTTTCCAACTCTGTATTTAAAATATACAATAGTAAATGCTCATCATCTTTTGAATTGTCTTCCAAAAATATTATTATTGCTGGGCTATAACTAAGTAATTAAATTTGATTTGTAGCTACATTAGTTCATTAGCCTTAACATTTTCCAAAACAGTTAAGCTGATGTTAGATCTTGGAATACCAAATGATATTTTGTAATAATTATTACCATTACACTAGAATCATTAAAGAACAATCAGTAACAGCACTTCAAATTTGTGGGTATTACCTACAAAACCACAAATCAAATTAGCACATTCTTCATTTATTTTTTATTAGCTGTTAGCAGTAGACAGAATTCCCTGTTGTAAGTCAAGATTAGTTGGCATTGGTTTAGAATGTGTCATTGATTGAGTTTATAAAAAAGCATGTGCTAGTTGTTATCTATTTAATGGGATTTTGCTTCATAATTTTAAAATGTTTTGCTGAAAATATATTTTATTAGAAATTACAAGCATTTATCACTTAGCAGTATTTTTTTTCTCAAATACATTTTGATCTTAGAAATGGTCAAGTTGAAATAATTGAATTCATTTATGTAAGAATATTAATAAATATGTATATATATTTTTATATTATAAATTTAAATGACTACTTCTACACTAAAAATAAGATCAAAGACTAGGAATCTATCTTGTTTTTGGAACTGAACAATCAATAAAGCTATACTGTCTTTTATTCTCCATCCTTAATCAGATTGGACCTTATTTCTACCTTGTTTAGGCTTGTACACAACATAAATTTTTTTTTTCAAAGTATTTAATAAAGCTTAGTGGTGCCAGCAGCCTTATTTAAATACTGAAGGTTTTGAAGGAGGACAGACATCTTTCAAGATTAACTATGCAATTTGATGAGATATAAATTCATTCTTTAAGACAACTTGGGTTTAGTCTACATAATCCGATTCCCTCGCACAACGACAAACTCTTTCACTTGGATCTGACCTATGGAAAACAGACAACTGCCAAAGGAAAAACGATCCTTAAAAATTAATGTTTTCTGAACTGCTAACAAGGTAGCACAACTCCATTTGACCCAGCAATCCCATTAATGGGTATATATCCAAAGGAATATAAATCATTCTATTATAAAGACACATGCACTCAAATGTTCACTGCAGAACTATTCACAATAGCAAATATATGGGATCAACATTATCTTTGATAATATGTTTTTTTTAGAAACCTTGTGTTTGAATCCTGGTGCTTAATTTAAGGTTAAATCCCCGTCACAAAAACAAATTTATGCAATCAATAGACCTATTTAGCATCTACAAAGCTTGTCAGTAATAAAACTCCATGAAGTCAAGATGAAATCTCTTCAAAATTAAAATTCTAAAAAGAAAAACATAGGGCTGTAATTTCATTCCACTTACAAATTAAATACTTTGCCAATTCTAAAATTTCACATATCTATTGAGCAAATGAAGTATAGTAAGAATTTTATAGAGCAAAAAGCTTGTGATTGATTTAGAATACTCCTAAGAACATATATACAGAGATGGCATGGATTATTAACCAGTTTTCACCAACTCCACAAATGTTTACCAATTTTCACAAGAAATCTACATTTCTAAAGATGGAATTTGGCAATACTCCTTCCTTAGCAAGAATAAAATCAATTTAATTGCATAGAATGAATGTTTTAAATGGAGCTTGGCAGAGTAAGTTATTCTATCAAATCAATGTCAATCCTTTTTAAAAATTCTTTTCCTTATTCTTCTGCATTGTACCACCCAAAAGAACATTGTTTATTTATGGTTTGGTAAAAGTCCTGAACAGCAGAATAGATAGGGAAAGACTGCTTTTCAAATAAACCAGTATAGAGTCCTTATTCTTAAGAAAAAGAAAGATAATATTTTCAAGAGAAAATATCCTTAGTCAAACAAACAAAACACAGACTGAAGATGTTTTAAGGGCTACCCTTATGAGTTCATTTAACAACATGAAATATACCTTTAACACCATGCAATACACTTTTACATGAATTTACAAGTGCTCTCTACTACAGAATGGTTCAATAATTGAAATGATTAGAAAACATAATCATTAGGGAAAATACAATCAATAGGGAAAGAATTCCTAGCAAAAGAATAAAGTTCAAGTGTGTTAACCTGGGCACACAGGAACTTTCCAATCCAAGACCATTGGAAACATTCTTTCTTAGATATGAAGGATATTAATTTGCTACTAGATAACTATCTTTCAGTAAAATAAGTGTCCCAACAAAACACATCTCAATAAGTGGAACATTAACATAATAAACATAAAATAGATATTAATCAAAACACTATGCCCCCTACACATATCAGAAGATAGATATTATAATCTCTGCTTTGATTTCATTGCGATATTGTACTTGACACTATTTATCACTATACGGTAACAACAAAGGTCGTAAAGACACTGAAAGGCTCATTCAGGAAAATCTGTTCTCTTTGCCCATCCCCTCCCTTGTTTGTTTTCCCTCATGTTCAGTAGGAGAAATTTCCTATTTAAAGAGCATGTATTCATCATTTGACATATCACATGCCATTAACATAAGAATTAACAATTTTAGAACTATATTTATATATTTATTTTGCTTTCCTGAAATTTCTAAATGCCCAATGCTTCAACCAATATAATCATTCATTTAAATATCCTTTGTTATACTGCAGATATTACAGGTTCCTTCCCTCCCTTCCCTCCCTCCTTCCTTCCTTCCAGAAATTGTTCATAGAATCAAATTTTCTGCTTTGCTTTTGGTGAGCTGAGTGCAACATCCCTTCCTAGGCAAAGAGGGAACAGCCCTCTAAATATCAACTCTCAGTGGAAGAATCATTGCACAACTGGGGTACTTCATATTACTACATGAGCACAGTGCCACCATAAAGTGCCAAGAGGAAGAACAAATTGTTTCTTTTTTTCTCTGACCCACACCTCGGCAACTAGATACATGGGCAGAATCTTATTTCTCTCCCCATCACTGTATCAGTGGGGCAGAGTGTTTGTTTAATAAGCACATAAAGTAAAACCAGACTGGAACTACAAAAGGGCTGGATGGCCTTTCCCATGTTGGCATAACACTGAAGAAGGAGGGTTGGTCATGAAGTCACGATTTACCAATGGCATTTAAGCAGAAACATTAACTTATATTGTCACAAAACACAATGTCACATAAAAGCCACAAAAATATTTTCAGTAAGCTCTGGTAGCCAGGAAATTCTTTTCAGAGGTGTTTCCTTTTTGGGTTTTCCCAATTTGGACTCAGAAATGAAGTTAGAGACCTATTGTGATATTTTAAATATTCCTTTTCCAAATATATAACATGTGATTCAAAATAGAATGCAAGTTTTTCAGCCTGTCTTAAGTAAGCTGACAAATGGTGTCCCATCGCTCATTTTATCATGGTCACAACATACTTAAAATGCATATATGTATAAAAGTAAAAATAAAATATTGATGTAAATAGAATTAAGATCTCTGTGTGTAAAGCATATTGATAACCAGCACCCAAGCAAGGACTGATATTTTGAAAATGGTCTTGTATAAAAGCTATTCCATTCCTTGTATGCTATTTAGTTTAAAAAATGATGCACAGACCCACATTCATAAACACACTGAAACACACACACATACACACACATAATATAAGAACTTACACAATTTCATCATTCTGGAATTCGAGCTCTCCACAGGTGTCTTCAAAATCCTCGCCTCCACCTCTGGCAGTTCCTTCAATGGTTTTATATGGAACAATAACATTTCCTCGAGCTCCAGATGTTCTCAATACTTTCACCTCCATGATGCCAATGCTCTCACTCACGTGAGTCACAGGTTCCTCAAAAGTAAAAATGCCTGCGTGGTCATCATCAAAAATAGTTACAGTGGCAGTGGAGGGAGAACCGAGGCAAGCAAGTGTAGAAACATGATTGGCTTCCAGTATGCCATCTTCTGAAGCTTCGGAAGATACTTTGACATTGCTGAGATGCACAAGGAAATTTTCATCCTCCTCAAAGATATCATCATCAATGATACCCACTCTAATTTCCTTCTGCATCTCACCAGGCTTAAACACCACAGTTCCTTCAGTAAATTCATAATCAGACCCAGCATTTGCTGTGCCATCCTCCGTTCTGAAGTCCACAAACACAGTGTTGGTCAAATCACCACCTCTGCGGATAATAGTAAGGGCCACAGTACCACAGTTCTCCAGGCACTGATATGTCCCTTGTTCAAAGAAGATCTTACTAACAGGGTCGTTTTCAGCCACTTCAGTGTTGACCTCATGCATGCTGACAGCCTTCCTTGCTTGGTCAGCTGCATGCCGTTTTAAAATGTTGCCAGCTCCTGTCATCAGGCGGGTAGCTTGAATGCGGTAAAAGGCTCTACTTTTTTGCTGCTGACTTAGGACTTGGTAGTTAGCTAATTCTATTAATTGCTCTATTTCTTTCTCTGGATGTTTCTGCTTAAGTTCCTTCAGAATCCTAGCCATTTCTCGCCTAGCTTCTTCATCATCTTGGTCCCTCTCATCCACCTCCAGAACCAGAGCACCATCTAAGAAACTGTCAACATGAGAATTGACCACTTTCCCATCCATTTCAATTTCAGTCTTGGAAGATGGCCTGTCTCCTTCGTGTTCAATAATCATGCCCCTTTGCTTGCCAGCTCGATACCTCTTGTAGACATACTTATAAAAGAGAAGTCTCCTATCTGCTACCCAAGCAAACACAACACAGATGGGAAAGAAGAAGAAAGTAAGCAAACCTTCCCAGACCTCCACAACGCCAGGAGAGATGACAGACAAAATAATGTAAAGCCAGGTGTAGGCAAAGATGCTCCAGGCTGCCGTCACGAAGAACACACGCAAATGCTTAATCTTCCTTGTCTCTCCGTCAGGGACCACGTAAACACAGAGTGCAATAATGATGAACATATTGAACGCAGCACTTCCCACGATGGTGCTAGGACCGAGGTCTCCTGCAGTGAAGTTATGGCCGCACACTTCAATTACTGAAAGGAGAATCTCAGGAGCAGAAGAACCCAGGGCCATCAAGGTCAGGTTGGAAACGGTCTCGTTCCAGATCCTCACAGTTGTCTTGGTGGTCTCTCCATTGGGTTTCTTTATGGTTATTTCTTTTTCTTGAGATGTGATGACTTCTATAGAGGACATGAACCGATCAGCTATGATAGAGACTCCAAGAAACATGTAGACCATGGCCACAAAATACACAGTAGCTCTAGCAATTTTGTCCCCAAAAGAAGGGTCTTGGGGCTCCCAGATGGGCAAAATCACCCCTTTCTTACAGTAATATGAGCCAGTACATTCACCAGTTTCATTTCCTTCTCCTTCCATATCTGTCTCCGCAATTACGTGGTCCACATGGGAAAATAAGAGAGCCAGGACAACTAACAGATGTAATCCCATTGAAAAGGTGGGTGAAAGACTTAATCGCAGCATGTTGTACACGACACTTCCAACTGTCACAACCTACTGGAAAAATAAGATGGGGAGAGGGTGGAAAGAAAGTCATGTCATTAGAGCTGCATCCAAAGCATTAGTAATTACTTATTTTTATTACTCTTACCAAAATTGGTTTATATTTCACCATCAAAAATCTATAGTGAGTAATTGCTTTAAGACTCCATCAGTGACTAAGCAATCCTTTGTAAAGTTTACAACTCAATCTTCCTGTGAATTTACTGCATGTAGTTCCCATTCACTGAGCAGGATACATTGAGTTATTGGAAAGGAAAAGTTCAATTAATACAGCCTTGCCTTATTAAACACACATTTATGTATGCTAATAGCCAAAAAACACAGGACTTTTAAAGCATTAAATAATTTCCTCCTCTTTACAAAAGCAAATTTTCTTCTAAATTTTTGTTAGTACATCATCTTCCAGAAATGATTTCCTTGCCAAAACACCTTATTAGGATTGATGCTTTGAAAATCAGACTGAAAAAAATCCCACCAACGCAAGGCCTGGTGATTATCTTAAACACCAGAAAGCATCTTACACGGTATTTCATGAAATTGTGCCCTCTTGCTCCACACTTACATGGAAACAGAAAACTTCAAGCTTGCCTGAAATCAAACCTCAATGGCATTTTTTCTTGAGGGGAAAAAAATTCTGTTGTAACATTTCTACACATTAAGTACAGTTTTTAAAAGCATGTTTTGATGAGAGCACATTTCCTCTTAGTTGTCAGCCAGCCCAGGTCTCCTGATACATTAGCAGCTGCGCATCTGGTTCTTGAAGCACAGCTCTTCACATCTGGGTACAGAGCCTGCTTTTCTGCAGGCTGGAAAGGGAGATAGCCAGGCCAAGGCCTCATTGTGGGTAAGAGTGTGGCAGGCTGTGGAATCAGTATCACCAACCTTAAAATGTTCCTTCTCGGTGTTGATGTCATATTTTCCATGGTCATTCTAAAACACATATTAGTTCTGCAGAGGGTTCAAGTGACCAAAAAATGTAGGACCAATAATTCCATTTAAATTAGCTCATGTGGCATGACAACAGTGACCACAAAACATACATAAGATGAAAGGCTGTAGGCAATGAGGGCCATGGCAACAGAGTCAGTGAGTAGCACACAAAGCTTGGTAGGCATAGCGGCAGACTCAGCCACCATGGCCCTAAGGTCACCCACCAGCTCAAGCAAAACTCTACTCAGACCTTACATCCCCTCTGCTTCCAGAACCTGGGACAGGGGTGAGGGGAAACTGAAGTAGAGGAAGGTCTGCTCCAAGTCAGGGTAACTCTCTTCCAGGTCTTGCAGGAGGGACCAGTTACGACATCAGATAAAGCAGCAATAGGAAGAATCCCTGAGTCAGAACATACCCTTATGGCCTGGAAAAAGTTAAAAGAGGAGCTGGATTAGAGGCTTTCATAGCTTCAGGCTGGCTGAGAGCCACCCCACGTTCGCCTACACTCTCTGGCTCATGTTTGCTGCTAATGGCTTATACTGAAAACTGCACCAGGGCCCAAGAGAACACCCTGCCTAGCACATTCTGGCAGACCCTCAGAGATCCCACCATACCCTAAAGCCCTTTATAGCTCATCACTACAGGGAGATAAGCTTCTTTGAGATTTTTCCCTTACTAAAGAAACCAGTGAAGGGTTATAGCAGTAGAATTTGAAACTAAGTAAAGGGCTGAAAAATAGAAGCAGCATATTTTAAAATATGCAAAAGTTCATTGTCAGTATGTCTGCTTGTTCAGTCTTTGAAAGCCTTTGGAATTTCTGCTTGAAACAAGGCAAGATTTAACCATCCTGCAAGAATGGTGAAAAGTCTAGTTCCAACTCCTTTGTGCATCGATATCATCCATAAATATTTATGCATGCTTCATGTATATTTCAGAAAGACTTGCTAGGCTATCCTCTAGATCCTGAGAATTCACCAGTGAATAAAACAGAGTATCTGTCCTCACAGAGCTTATATTCTAATGTAGAGGAAACAAACAAATATAAATATCAGAAGGTTAAAAAGTCCTACAGTACATGTGTATGCAGAGCAATCTAAAGAGGACAAGGAGTGTGTGTGTGTGTGTGTGTGTGTGTGTGTGTGTGTGTGTGTCAGTGTGTATACACATGGCATGCGTGATTTTATACTAGATGATTAAGAAAGGCGTCTCTGATAAGGTAACACTTGAGCAAAGTCCTGAAGGACACAAAAGGTCAAGTCTTGCTTATATCTGTAGGAAGAGAATTCCTAGCAAGTGCAAACATCCTGATGGGAATCATACTTGGCACAGTCTAGAACCACAGAAAACCAATGTAGCAAGAGGACAATGTACCAAGGGGCAGGGCTCAGGAGTGGGAACGGATCGTGGAACACTGAGTCGCCATAAGTCATGGGCTTTGGTGGGGTAGAAGATGAGAATCACTGGGTGGTTCTAATCAGAGGGTGATATGATCTGATTTTTCTTTTCAAGGATCTCCCTGCTGGTTCAGTGTAAAATAGACTAAAGGGGCAAGGTTGGAAACAGACCAGCTTTTGCTTACTATATAAAATCTAATTTATAAGTGATCCTAATACTTGGCAGGTATACAAAATGATACAGAAGGTATCTAACATGTAAAATGGTGAAAGAAACATTTGTAGTGATCCTTTTGGAAGATTTGCAACTTAAAATGTCTTGGGAACCTGGAAGAATCAGAAAGGTGAAATATTTGTAATAAAAAGTAGTACTGAACATAGAGCATGAACACTGAAGAGAGATTCAAACCTGTGTCTGTCTCCAAGACTGATATAATTAACCACTCCCTTCAAATTACTGCCAAATCACATCATTTCATTCTTCACATTTCAGCCAAAATGAAATTCCTAAAGTGCAGATCTGACACTCTTTACTTCCCTTAAAAATTTTCATTGGTGGCCTGCTTCCTTGAGGCCAAAGCCCAAACCCTTCAACAGGCTGTGTAAGACCTTTTATGATCTGGCCTCTGAGCTCCAGAATATGGAAAGTATTCCCATTCCCTGAACAAGACAACACTTTCTTACATCTAGGTCTCTGAAGATATTCTGTGTTCAAAACTATTTTGCTTTTTCCTTCTTAGAAGCAAATTTCGAAAGAGCTGAACACCAAATTATAACCACTTTCCTGAGAGAATACAAGGTTTCACTCTTAAACATAGACAGGATGCTAAACTCTCTATATGTATCGATTATATTTAATATTTACATTAACCAGCATTGCTATGTTACAAAACTCCTGGCGTTGCTATTTCCATTACAGTCCATGAGAACAGAACCTTTGGAGTTGTGCAATGCACAGTGCCCTAATAATAATCCTAAATAGGAGGTATTATTAGCCCATTTGAAGGTTGGATAACTGAGGCTTAGATTGGTTGAGTACTTGCTGAAAGTCATACGGACAGTAAACCCCTCAACTAAGACTCAACCCCTGGTCTTCTTCAAAGACTAATATAATTAACTGCTCCATTATATCATCCCTGATAGTGTGTGAATCAATCTTTGAGAACTATTAGGGCTGGCTTGGACTAGCCCATTGGAAACCTTCTTGGCTTCCGTGTGTGGTTAGGTGGGCTAGTTAGCAAAAGTCTTACGGAAGGTTTCCAGTAGCCTGGCTTTTATCTTACAGATTAGACTCAAACAGACAAGCATCAATGACTGTGATGTAACATGAGGGCTAACATGTTCCTAGAGACAGGTGCCCTTCAGTCTGGTCTTTTAGCAATTGCCTGGCAACCTCTTCCTGCATGCACAGTCAGGGCAATCTCCTAGGCCAGCCAAGAAAAAGCCCTGCCCTTTACCCCTTCCCTAGCCCACATCCCACAATATGCTCTTAGCCAAAAAGGCACCAGATGTCTCAAGGTGGATAGATCAGTAAAAATCCATTACCATTATCAGAGAAAAAGGAAGGGAGCTTCTAGTATTAACTAAAAACATCACAAGTATATTCAAGAGAGCAGCATTATAATTTGTGAAACCAGTGGACACTTACTGGCAATGAAGCACCGGAAAAGAACTCGCTAGACTTGAGTTTTTATTAAATTAATACCAAATCCAAATGCTCATGAAGATATGGAATAGGTGCTACCTAACTGTGAGTTCCTTCTTCATCCTTTTGTCTCCTTTCTTTCAGAGTCTTTACTGTAACATCAGATTCAACGTAGTTCTACTTAACTCTCCCCATTTTCCTTCAAATATACATCTCCATACAAATTAAGCAGAAAGATAAGAATAGAGGCTGTGGATATGCTGATTTGCTGCCTGGCTTTTTTATATTCTGCCTTAATTTACCAATATAAAATATAGGCTGATTTTTATGGGGGATTCAGATAAACTCGCACAACTATGGCCAGTACTCACTTAGGAATATCCATTACATTATCCAAATGAGACTTTAGCACAGTATCAAGAATACCCAATGTATCTTCCGATCACTATTTATTTTAAAACAAAACACAAAGCTTCATCACCTATAGATCACAGACCTACATGGCACTGACAAAGGTTGGTAAAAGGATATCCAGCTGTGAATAGGCCAGCCAGTTGTGTTGGAGGGAGAGGTCACAAGCTATAAGGAATAGAAACCCATGTCTGCAAAAGATAGGTCATTATCAAACTGCTTTTGTAAAGGATGAGGAAGAGCTTTTGGAGCAAAGACGCCTGAAGAGTGGTTATGCAGCATAGTGACCATTCCCTGCCGGAAGCTGTAGACAGTTTTGTCTACCAAGGAGGACCTGACTCAGAGAAAAGACAGGCTGGCATTCCTACCAGCCCAATATACTAGACAGTCAGCCTAATGGCATCCTCTTGATTGGCAGCTGGGGCTATTCCAAGGAACTCCTTGATGGCCTTCATTAGGACTTGGAATTCCCTTCTATGTAATTCTTGCTGACTGAAAGCCTCAAAGCTAAGCAATTAATCTGTTTCTAAGGCAACGTTAAAGCCACCATAAATCCTATCCACTACCAAGGCAAGCACTTTCAAAGACTTCTAGACAAAGAGATGATGCCA